ATTTAATAACTTCTATAAACAATCACTTTTGTTGTTTTAGACTAAAATTGTATTTTGAATTTCCAGCAAAATAACTACATCTCCAACTAGTCATTCATAAATTTCAAATATATTGTAGCCAACAGTACCTCATTTCTATGATAATGTTAACAAAGAAATAGGGTTTAGGCAATGACTGAGAAAATTTCAGTAACTCTCATAATATTGAATAGTGACATGTAAAATTTTTCTACACGACGTTAGAATGGGCAGAGTTGTTGGCGCGGGCCAAAATGTAAACAATCTTTATTTTCTTTATCTATTAAAATAACTAAGATGCAAGAATGTTTTTATCTATAGTCAGAAATTAGCACTTCGAAATTCGATCATGTACTGTGCACTGGAAGATATTCTTTTTAAAAAATATGTACTGTGTCGGGAATGAGTTTACATGCAAATTCGGAGGGCTCCATTAAATTAGCAATTGCAAAAGCGAATAAAAAAATATTTTTCGATTATTTTGATTTATGGTAAAAAACATTTTTTTGTGTTTAACTCGTGATTGTGACGCCGTTATTCAAAATTTTTTCAAAATTTTTGCAAAACTGGAAAGCTGAATCATTCTAGATTTTAACGTAATGTGGAAAAAAAATATTGTACATATACAGAATATATGAGATTATTTAAAAGGAGTCGCGGCACCAAAACTGAGGTGAACATTTCAGCATCGAGCAAATTTGTGAATGGTTGAAGATAGATATATGATTAATCGACGAAAAATGTGCTAAAATGAATGGAAAAGTTTTTGGTGAAAACAAAAATTCTTTACTCGTAATGGTTTCTGAGAAACGAATTTTTTGTGAAACGTTTATGCGCGCCGGCCGCTACCGTTCGTCGACGGTCATTGTGTGTAGTGGTAGTCACGGGGGTTTATATCATATGCAAAATATGCCAACCCGTTTACTGCGCAGACACCCGGCGCTTGGGTGCTCTGAAGTCCGTTTTACAATAAACAAATTGTATTAAAATGTAAAGCACACTGAATAATTTAATAACATCTCGCTCAGTAACACAAAAAAGTATTATTTCAACAATTTTAATTTATATATTAAACCAAATTAAAAAATCATGCCTTCACTTAGTTATTTGTACAATGTTAACCTATCTTTATGTCCGCTACATGCCTGCTGGCTCCCCCGTGTGCCCGCTGCAAGGGTGACGCGCGCGCTGTCAACAAAAAAGTAAATAAAAAAACAATATGGTTATGGTTGCCGTCGACGAAAACATCTGAGTGAGAGTATTTTTATTTATTTTAGTTTTAGATATGTTATTTAGGATTATTTAAAATTAAGTAAAGGTATTTTGATGCTTTAACGAGTCTACCAGGGAAAATTCATTATAAATACATAATTTCCAAATAAAAAAAAAAAAAAATGGTGCCACATTTTAAACAGTCCATGTGAAACCAATTATGAGATAATTTTGATACGAAATCGAATACAAACACAAATCGTTCAAGACTAAGACTGCTAAGATTTGCTTTGTCTTTAGCACCCTCAAAACAAGATACACCAAAGATAATAATACTTAGTAATGTTGTTATCACACCTCCAGATTACCTGTGTTACATTTTAATAAGATAGATCAAAATTTCAAAGACGGTCAGTCATCAATTGAATTTGAATCTTACATAAAAAACAACGTTTCAATAATGGATTTTTAAATAAATTTAATAGAAAACAGAAAAGTAAAATTTGCAAATTAAAAAAGGCCCTATAATTAATTCCTAATGTAACGTTTAAACTGCAGTCAAAATTTCAGAATCAAAGATATTTCAACAATTTAATTCAAAACTATTATAATGTAAGTTTGTTCAGGTTTCTTTAAAACTCGATGCAAACTGTCAGAGAACCAGTGAAATTCCAAATTATTTGTCGCATACAACTATTAAACTGTCCACTGGTCAACTAGTCTTCTGATAGTTCTCAATGTATTTTTGAAGAACCCGGACATACCTAGTATGAGGGCTGTGGCAATATTTTAAAGACCAAAAAGATAAAAAAAAATGATTGAAGTTACTGCATTTAATTTTTTTTCTGTTTCAGTTTATATGGATGGTTGCCTTTTATCTTATTTCCCAAGATTCAAGGAGAATATTTTTTTTATTTATTTATTAGACATTAGTTTTTTCAAATCAAGTACATGAATTATTTGTTTTGCAATTTCTGATTTTCATTATTTTAACCAAAGATAGTTAACGTACATCTAAATAATAATGTAATATTTGTGATATTAGAGTAACTTTCTTAAAGATAATAAATATTTGGAGATAATTTATAATACTAGAATTTGTTTTTAAGTCAAACTCATTAGATAATCTTTAGAGAATAACATTTTCGTGAAATTAGGAGTATTTTTTATAGAAACTAGTAAACATTTGTAAAAATAGATTGTACTTTGTATGGAAATAAACTAATATATACAAATAATGATGGTAGGTCGGGTTATCCGGGTTTTCCTCACCATAGCAAATAATAATAACTATTCTTGCCACTCACAAGCTCTTCTTGGTGTTTAACTCATGTAGGGTGAAGTGTAGGAAAATCTGTTAGTATTGTTGTATTGCCATTAATTTGATTTATTTTTCTTGGGAATTTTTAGTAAATATAATTACATGAAACTTTGTATGGTATTTATTTTACCCCTCATAGTTATTTGTCATAGAATTTTACATTTTTATTGGCATTTCATAATTGTTACAAACAGCTAATAAAAAAGCAAAATTTTAATTATAATTAAGAGGAGAAAAATTTACTTTAGCAATTATCTTTTTCTAACCAATACGAAATAGAGCTATGAACATTTCTAGTTTATTTTTAATTTTTAGTGAATGAATAATATGTACATTTAGGTAAAAGTGAAAAATTTGTTTCTCTGAAATCTGATTTATTTTCCCAAAAATTGAGAAAATCTTTATGAAACAAAATTTTGCGATTTTTGCCATTAAAATTGATCAAATTTTAAAAAAGTGGCTTCAGAGGAAAGAACGTCTACCTTCACTTACATGTTTTTTCTATCACAAAAAATGAAAAAAAATGAACTGAAATTTTGGATGCCTATATTTCGTATTAGATGGAAAATAATAATTGTTAAAATAAATGCTTCTTTTAGTGGAAGTAAAATAAGCCCGCCAATTTTCAAATTAAATATGGTATTACGGGTAACTGCATTACCAACAGAGTAATGATTGAACAGTTAATATTGTAGGTAACAACGTTGCCGAAAGAGTAGGATTAGTTGAACCACCCGTCCCCACAGGTCGCTGCAAGCAAACTTGTTGCCAAATTTCTACAAAGAAACGGCAACTCTTAATAATCTTTCCTCCATGGTGGTAGTGTTATCGGGACTGTGGGTGTGAATAGATGTATCTCCACGGAATTGAGTAATGCAAAACAAATCAGTTCCTGTTCAAATTAAGTCGCAATTGTTTGTAGATGAAGCAATGGTTTTCCGCAACTTATATTTTGCTAGAAACTTGGACGAAAATAAACAAATGGAAGTGTTTAGCCACGAATGATTAAGCTACCCTCCATCTCAAAGTGAACCTAGTTGTTTTGGTAATTCCTTGCGAAAAGGAAATAAAGCCGATTTTTTGAATTGTATGAAATCGCAACTGAAGGACAAGTGGGTCGAGTCAAAGACATTAACATTCAATTATAACAGAAAAACTGCGTATGTTATTGATATGATGGCATTTATACAACGCCATCAATATAAAAATTGTAATACCTTTTGTGAATTTCATGAAAAATACATTGACATTATTGTTGCCAATAAACCAAAAACGTGTGATATAATTGCTCTCGTCGGAGATCGATATGACGACAACATCAATTCTGTGAAAGATATGGAAAGAATGAAAAGGAACAAATTTGTTTTAAACAGCCAATAATTTGAAGTTCAAGATAATATTGAAGTTCCTAATGGGCCCGTTCACTTTTATTTTTGAATGTGAATTATTTATATATTTATAAAGATATTAAACTCTTTTGTCTGGTGGTACTTTTTCCGTTAAGATATTTTTGCTAGAAGTAAGGGAATTCCCATAAAATTCTTTCAGTGACTCATTGCGTCAGAAAACCCCTAATTCCCTTCAGGTCTCGTATCGGTTAATAGTTAAAAGGGCGCGGTTGTCGGATGTATCATTGCACCACCATTCCTCTTCTGCATTTATTAAAGAAATTTACATGATAAAAATATATTATTTTTTAAAAATAATGTGTTTATATTTTCAGATAAAGCTGGAAGCCCTACCTTTTTTAAATTTTAATAAAAACAATTAGTATTACTCAAGCTGAATATTACCAGATCGAAATTTTATTTGAGAAAATGTATCTGGTAAACGTGACAACGTTGTAAGTACTTCTAAATAGTGTTGTCTACACACACTTCTAGAAATAAATGCAACGTTGCCACGTTTACCAGATAAATATTGCAAATCAAATTTCTACTTTTTGATTATGGTCTGGTTAATTTTCAGCCTGAGTAATAATAATTGTTTTAATTAAAAAGTAAAAAATAAGCTCCAGCTTTAAATCTGAAAATATAAGTTCATGATGTTTAGAAAAATAATGGAATTTTACTATTTAAATTACATATATAAATGCAGAAATGCTATATTAGGGATACTTCCGACAACCCCGCCGTCTTTAAGCATAACCGATGTGAGACGTGAACGGAATTAGGGATTTTCTGACGCAATGAGTCACTGAAAGAATTTTATGGGAATTCCCTTACTTCTAGCAAAAATATCTTAACGGGAAAAGTACCACCAGACAAAAGAGTTTAATATCTTTATAAATATATAATTAATTCACATTCAAAAATGAAAGTGAACGGGCCCATTGGCAGCAGTTTTTTAGTAATATTAAGAATAATCACGGTTTCTAAAATATATTTCCAGCAAACTATGTACAGCATATAACTGCCTTCCCAAGAATATTTCCAAAATTACTGCTGGAATGGCAGAAAATAACAGCATTTCTACTCTATCTTCTTCCGAAACCACTAAAAGACTACCAGAACTACACTTTTCTCACCACAATGAGGCCGACACTAGAATATTTATCATTATCCAATACTTGTCAAATCTACAGTACCGTCAAATAATAATAGAGGCCACTGATACCGACATATTTGTTTTGTCTCTCTACTTTATTACTATCCAGGAAATATGGTTTAACACATATATACCAGTGCACCACATCATAGAAGAATTATCTACGGATAAGTCTTTAAATGTTCAAATGAATTTGGGTAGTTTACTTTTGAGTATTTACATTTTAACTGGTTGTGATACAGTAAGATTTATATTTAGAAAAGGTAAAACTAACGCATTAAAAAAATGTTTGAATTACGAACACGACACAGAATTAAAAGCACTTGTAAGTTATCCTAAAAGTGCTAACCAGAATTTAATTAATTTCGAAAACGCGGCTAGATATTTTTTCAAAATTTTGTATGCTAGGCCATTATTTACAGGTGATTTAAATAAATTACGCGCTCATCTATTTCATACCTGTAAATCTGATATAAGGAATTTGCCACCTACCCAGGATGCATTTTATCAGCATATATTAAGAGCTGCATATCAATTGATTGTCTGGAAGAGCGCTATTTTAATAAACCCAAAAATTCCCAACCCTGTTGATTTTGGTTGGGATTTAAAAGAAAATAATTTACTCCTTCCAAAATTGACCACAATAAGTATTTGTCCCGATGTACAATTCGAAAATGTGCGCTGCAAATGCAAACTTCAGAAATTGTGGTTGTTTAAAAGCTGGATTGTATAATAGGTTGTTATTGCGAGGGTGGGTGTTCTTTAAAATTAAATTAGCTTAGTTTAGTTACCCATATAGGATTTGTACATTTTTTTTTTATCCTTATATAGTTTATAACGTAACTACTCAGAAGTACATTTACTTCTGTGTTATCATTTTCTTGTATTTGTTTTTAGAATATACAAATGTATAGTGTCGACATGAATTATTAGGTTAAATAAATATTAATTAAATCCCTGATGGTTGTTTTTTTTACCGATGTTTAGGTATAAAATTAGTAAATCTCAACTAAAAGTTTTTCTTGGTGGTAAAGGACAAAATATTCACACCATTCTGTCTGTATGTTTTATATTAGAGACGATGTTATACCAATGCAGAGTCGCGGTCGCGTCGTACGAACCACGGAGTGGACGTTTCAGCGTTTGACAAAAAAAATACGTATCTCGCAAACCTTTACTAGTAGTGTTATTCTTTTTACCAAAAACTTTTCCAATCATTTTGGTACATTTCTCGTCGATTATTCATATATATCTATCTTCAACCGTTCAAAAATTTGCTGGATGCTGAAATTTTCACCTCAGTTTTGATACCGCGCCTCCTTTTAAATAATCTGATAAATTCTGTATATATACAATATTTTTTTCCACATTGCATTAAAATGGTGAATGATTTGCCTTTCGAATGTTGAAAGAATTTTGAAAAATTATTGAAAAACAACGTTCAATCGCGAGTTAAACACAAAAAAATGTTTTTTTACGATAAATCAAAATAATCAAAAAATATTTTTTTACTCCTTTTTGCAATTGCTAATTTAACGGAGCCCTCCGGATTTGCATCCGTAGGATCATTCCGAACATAATACATATTTTTTAAAAAGTATATCTTCGAGTGCACAGTCCGATGTTTCAGAAGTATCTTTTCGACTCTCAGTTCCCTAACTACTAATCAGCTTCACTTATATATGTGAGAACCAATGTAAAAAATTGAGGAAGTACACATTAACTTCTAATATCCCGCCAAATCTTAGTATACTTCCTTCGTCAACATATCCGCAAAAAATCAGAAACCTTATAAGACCGGTTGAAGGGAAAAAGGTACCATATCGGATGCCCTGTTATTCGATACCCGGTGTGTGGGTGCATTTCCTGTGTGGGGGACATCCACCGCACATATGGGCCGGTCCACCAGGTTATACAGTTACACGTGTAGGTATTGTAGAGTGGGGTAACTTTACCTCGCTACTCTACAGGGCGTTTCTTTGCCAAATGGATCCAAATAAAAATGTAATTATCTGATCATAAAAACTTCAATTAACCTTTGTAAGCGTACACGTATACCAGATGTAGAAACAAACATTTAATACGGCATTATTTATTTCTGGTGTTTTTGAAGATAAAAACACATTTGGATAAGAATCTACTTTCCGCGCGCATGTGAATATGAATCTACTTTCCGCATCATCTGTAAAATATGTCAGACGAATTATTCTTAATTATTAACGAGTGAATTTTAACTCCAAAAGCAGAGCTTGCCCGGGGAAGGGACCGCTATTACTATTATTTGCCGCGGCGGTCCGGGGCGACTTAAATATAATTGATGGTACCATTTAACTTACAGGTGAGGAAAATCCGGAAAACCCTACCCTCCATCATCAAAACTGTAACGCATAGCGATTTTTATAATCTGGATGTTACATCAACAGAAATTACATTTCTGCTAATACGGCATCCATCAAATTTTATAGAGGACCATCCAAATAAATATTCACATAATCCATAAGCCAATGTGTCTTCCAGCCACAAAATGGCTCCCAAATGAATGCGAGCGTATTAGACACCTACTCCACCTATCCGATTAAAATACAACTATTGATGTTTTTTTTATTGAATTCATTTTGTATTTATTCAGATATAATAAAGGTTTGAAAAATTCCATCCGTTCGGCCCACAGCGCTCGCGAAATGAAAGAAGTGCAAAACTTGGGAGATTGGCCTTCAACGTCAAGACATGTCTCTATTCAGAACGCTCTAGACCAGCCCTACTCAACCTGCAGCCTGCCAAGCATTTATGTACACTATTATTAGGAAGGTACTTTTTAAAATCATGAGTAAAATGCTAATTTTTAAACGTGTGGATATATTTAGGTTTTTTTTACAGGTCCCCAGCAAGTAATTTGATGACCTAAAAAAGGTCATCTTCCAAAAATGTTGCGGCCCGTATTACGTAGCAAACATAGGTATGTGTCTAGAAGGAAAAAAGCTGCTTTAGAGTTAGATGGTTAAATATAATTACTAGGGTAGTACGTTGGTGGGGGTTTCTTGTCACAGATATCCTCTAGATAGATGAAGACTGGACAAGAATTTTTCAATTCATACTAGCCGTTTGCGCAGCGTTCTCAAAAATCCATATTTTTTTTTTTAATAAAAACACTCCTAAAAAATGCAAGCCAAATAGCCTGGAAGCAAATGAAATGATATCATCAGGACATCGAATTGGACCAACATAACAATTTGTAGCTTTATTCTAATTTTTCTAAACACTCGTCTTGTTTGTTTGTTTTTTGTTAGAGTATTGTTAGAGTATTGTTACTAGTCATTACTGACTAACCTACAATTTTAATCTAAAAATCTTATAACTAATTACTTATCCAAGAAGTCCCCATTGGGCTGTCTTAATTGTTTCTGTAGGAAAGCATCACAAGTTGGGGTGACGATTTATTACACTGTTTTACACTAGCACTAACATTAACGTTTACTGCACTAGCTCAAATGGCTTCTTCCTTTTTTCCTTTTGAGTCTTCTATTGAGTGTAGAGTTGTCCAGTAATTGCAGTGCTTCTTCGTTAACGTGGGAGTGGAATCGACCCTCATGTTTCGCAGCAAACCTTTTTATTTCTTCTTAGATTGTTGACATCTTCAGGTCTCTATGAAGATAATCGTTTCGGTAGAACCAAGGTGCATCAACAATGCATCTTCGGACTTTATTTTGGAAAACTTGTATCATGTTGATATTATTCTTGCTGGCACATCCCCATAGCTGTATGCCATAAATCCAGATTGGTGTTAGGATTTGTATATAAATCAGCATTTTGTTGTGCACTAACAAATTGGTTTTTCTTCCTAGGAGCCAATAAATTTTTTTGAATTTAAGTTCAAGTTCTTTACTTATTTTTTTATGTGCTCTTTCCATTTAAGTCTTACATCTAGGTTCATCCCTAGGTATTTGGCCGAATCGTGATGCGGAATAACGTCATTGTTTATTCTTATTTGTTTTTGTTCGTTTGGTCGAAGAGTAAAATCAACATGCACTGATTTAGTTTGATTTATTTTTATTTTTCACTTTTTTGTCCATCAATTGATTCTGTTGCAGGTGTCCTGAAGTTTTTCTGAGGTATCTGTATTAGTTCCGCCAACTGCCAATATTGCAGTGTCATCCGCAAATGTTGCTATTTTAACAGATTGTTGTTGAGGGATATCGCTGGCGTCTAATAAGTAAAGAACCGGTCCTAGCACACTGCCTTGTGGGACACCTGCTTTAATTTCTTTCATTTTGGAGTATGCCTCGTCTTGCTTTACTCTAAACATTCTTCCTAGATATGATTGTAGAATGTCGACATATTGTTTAGGGAGCATTTTTTCAAGTTTCTGTATTACGCCAGCATGCCAAACCTTGTCAAATGCTTGGGCTACGTCAAGAAATATAGCTGAGCATATATATTTTTCTTCGTAAGCTTTTTCGATGATATCGGCTATCCTGTGTAATTGATCTGTTGTCGAGTATTTGTTTCTAAAACCAAATTGGTGCGAAGGGATCAGATTTTAATTTTTAATTATTGGTTTTAGTCCTTTTAGCCGTAGTTTTTCAAATAACTTGGATATTATCGGTAACAATGATATAGGTCTATATGATGACACTTTATTCATAGGTTTTCCTGGCTTAGGAATTAGGATAACTTCAGCCATTTTCCACTCATCAGGTATATATTTAAGGCGAAATGCTGCATCAATGAGGTATGTCAATTTAACAATAGCCTTCCATGGTAGTTTCTTTAATATTTCTCCAGTAATAAGGTCATATCCTGGGGCTTTCTGTGAGTTGATGTTTGTCTGAATTTCTTTCATAACTTCATTGGAAGTAACTAGCTTAATTTTAAGTTGTTCCATATTATGGATGGTCTCAATAGGAGTGTCTTGATTTTTATCTAATTGGAACGTCTTTTGTAGGTGGTCAGCGAAAATATCAGCTTTTTATTGATTGTCTCTTGCCCATTTGTTATCTGCTATTCTGATTGGAGGACATTGTTACACGAATTTTTCATGTTTTTAGTTGCCTTCCAAAGGGAATAATCAGTTTCTTTATCATCTGTTAGCCCTACTAGGTATCTGTTGAAGGATTCTTCTTTGTGATTTAGGATTTCTCTTCTCAGTCTTTGGATAGCCCTATTTAATATATTTTTATCTTCTGGTGATCTTGTCATCTGCCATTTCTTTCTTAGTTTTCTTTTTTCTGCTACTAGTTCTCTTATCTCGACAGGATAGTTTTTTCCAGCAGTTAATCTTCTTATTTTTGGTGTGTTCCTCCATGCAGCCTGCTGGATTTCAACTATAAACCTTTCCAGTTCTTCATCTAGCTGATTTTTCATTTTTAGTGTTATGAGTATTTGTTAAGTCCTCTTGAAAACCTTCCCAATTAGTTTTCTGACATAAATAGTTTGTTTTTCTCTTGTATTATTTTAGATACAGGGTGTTTCTAAATTCATGCGACAAAATTCATAAGGTGATTGCTCGTATAAAATTAAGATGGGTCTTTCCTATAACAAAATTTCCTTAGCCCACCCCTTTCCGAGACATCCTTAAAAGGTGGTGAGTAAAATTGAGGTTTTATTTTTTTTTTCTAAAATTTCAGTATAGCTAGAAACTTGAAATTTTGTAATTTTCGTGCACTCGCAAAGGACTTACTACGGGTATTTTTTCAATATTACTGTTACATGATAGGGGGTGAAATTAGCAACCCT